TTTGAGGTTGGCCTTTGATATACTATCAGCGCTGTGGTCCAGTACATATGATGCGCCTGAGTTTGGGCTTAGTGAAGTTTTCAGCACTTTGGAACAGATATTAAGAAGCGCTGCAAATACCCGTGTGCCTCGGGCATACTCACTCGATTTCGGTATCGCGCGATCTGGCAATTTGCCAGATCTCTCTGAATTCGATACTGGAAGAGTTCAAATGCAGAGCATGTATAACTTTTATAGGTTTGTAGAAGCCTTATTTTCCGTAGATCCAGAAACCTTTAACGATAAGTTATGAACATTTGGAGTATCCCAAATCGCGTCGCGACTGAAATCGCGTGAAGTATGATCGTTGCCTTAGCTGTGCTCACATCCATACGGTTAGGTGAACTGTGAATGTGGATTGGACTGTGAAGAAATCAAAAGAAGACTGGGTTCATAAAGAATGCCCTTTGGGATGATGCAAAGAATACAGGGTGTCCCAAAAAATGTATAGCACGTTCGATTTTCAATAACTCCCTTATATGGGAAGCTTTCGAGAAGCTTTGAGTACCATTATGTAGAAACTTCAACTTAGATTTACAATATAGAGCGGAACACTGATCGCTCTTTATTACTGTAGGATTACGGTAGGAACATTGAAGATGGTTTTGAGGCATGAAAGGCCATATTTTGCCTCAGAATGGAGACAAAACAGCTAGAAAACTCTCACACCGGGCTAATTAGAGTTGCTGATTTTGAATGTGAAGCTAGTCGTAATGCTTTATTGAAAAGTTATGCGAGGTAAGCTGTAGCGGTTGTTTTTTCAATAATTCTTAAGAGTGCGGTTACACCGTTTAGAAAGCTTCGCAATCTTGTACATAGAGTTGATTATTGAGCTCAGGGTCCACAAGAACCTATTACACAGTTTTCACAATTTTTTGAAAATTTTTGAAACGCTTTTTCCACAGTGACACTATATGTTTGATGTTTCTATCGTAATTCTACAGTAATGAAGAGCGATCAGAGTGCCGCTCCATATGTAAATCTAAATTGAAGCCAGCTCTACAAAATGGCACCCAAAGCTTCTCGAAAGCTTTCCATATAAGGAAGTTAGTGAAGTGCAAACGTTCTATACACTTTTGGGACACTCTGTAGAAATGAAAGTCATTCTCAACGGAGACCTTCTTCCCCTGTACCTTGGACT